ATTCTTTGAATATTTACCATCAGAAAGAAAACCAATACAGCTATTTTTAAAAATTATTAAAACTGTATAAGAATGCTGTGCACTGCAAGCTTGATGAAGTGGAACTGTGTACCACAGATTTCAATACATTGCAAACCAGTTCATTTTCCCCCTCTCCCTCCTCGCACAAGCTATTTAAAATATAGAATAAAATTCTTATAACCCTTAATATATAAGATGAGTATTAGTCTGATCTCCCAACAGAATGATGAAGGAGGTTTGCTCTATAATTATATTGCATGTTTATAAAGAAAAGCTCAGAAATTGGTTTCTTTTACATTGATGGATGTCTTAACACAAACCATAAAGTATAATAAAAAATTAAGCATCTTTGTTTTCTGCCACTAAGAATGTATGTACGATGTACAGTATATCAGTGCAGAGGATATATTTATCAAATATCTTGGGGAAACTTTTCATACAAATCAACTGGAAACCTTTTGGGGGTGCAACGTCAAGTTTTGCAATGTTTAGGAAGTGACATTGCATCAATACTTTTATGTAAGTGGCCTTGTTGGGGCATTTGGCAATGTTTGAAACATTTCGGGTAGTTACACCTGGGGAATACCAACAATATCTACTGGGCAGAGGCAAGGGATACAGCTAAGCGAGCCCAGGATGTTTCCCACAACAGTGAACTACGCAGCCCAAAATGTTAGTGCGACTGCTATGGTTTGGATCTAAAATTTCCCCACCAAGTCTCGTGTTTGGAAGCTAGTTGGATTAGTGAGGTGCTGTATTCACCAGCGGACTCATCCACCGATGAGTTCAAAGCTGGATGTGCTGTGAGGTGGTGGCGCCTGGTTGGAAGCGGGTCATTGGAGCGGGACTGACAAAGGGGTATTCTTGCCCCTGACTTCTCTATGCCCATGCTGCTTCTTGGCTGCCGTGGGTGGAGAAGCTGTCCTCTGCCATGCTATCCCTCTGTGTCATTTCTGCCTCAAAGCCAGGAGATCATGAATTGAGAGCATGAGCCCAAATGAACTTCTCCACCTCTAAGTTGCAGATGTTGGGTATTTTGTCCCAGTGACAAGAAAGTAGCTGAGACTACCACTGGTGTGGAGAAACCTTGCTTTACACTATTTTCTTTTGATTTTGGTGTGTACACTGTAGTTATCTTTGCAAATAGCTTGGCTACTTTGACTTCTGTTTTCGTTTTTGTGACTTGGACTATTAAATCAATAATTGGCTAATTCAATTTCGAAGTGTCAGGTTCCCTACCCCCAAGCCTTAGAATTTTATTAGCACATAAATGGACACTTTATTTTAAAGGATGTCTTTGTTTAACAAATGCTGAGTCTAATACTAGGCACTGGACAGTCAGTACCTCATTAGTAGACAGGACCCTGACCCAGAGTTTGCAGAAGTGAGTGGGGAGACCAGGTCCTTTCGTTCGCTGGCTAGTGCAGCAGCAAAAGCTTTTAGCTCCTGAGAGGCAACAGGCCCTGACAGAGATCACATCTGGGGGCAGTCCCGATTTGTGACCTTTTCCACTAACCCCTGGCATGGTCCGTTACCCATTCCCTACTTCTGCTTATCATATAAACAGCATGCTCCTGCAACCTGCCCTTTGCCCTGTTTACTTTTGTGCTTCAAATACCCTTTCTCTAAATCTCTTCACTGCTGGCTCTTTTGTGCCACTCAGGTCTCCGCTCAAATGTCATCTCCTCAGAGAGGGTGTTCTGGATCACCCTGGCTCTTGTCACCTCTCGACTTTCTCTATCCTGTTCTTCCATTTCAAATCCTTTGTTTGCAATTGTCTTGCTTTCCTGTTTAGTGTTTGTCTCTCCAACAGTGGCTTTTAATGACTTTTGGGGGAAAAGTCCTGTCGTCTCTCAGTGCTAGAGATGATGTAATGTCCCAGGACACAGGATTCTTACTTAAAGCTCTCTTTCCTTCCTTTTTCTTCTGGCCGCACTATTCCTTCTCAGCTGCACCAACAGAGCATACTCTGTCTGACTTCCCTACCTAGAATACTCTGCTCCTCTTGTTCTTGGCCAGTAACTAACCAACCTTTAACAATTACCTCCAAATGTGTCTTTTCCCACAAACCACTGATACGGCCCTTTAAACTTCTCCCCAAGACTATTTGCTTCTTTTGCTTTACCCTCTAATGACAAAGCCTTGCCTTCTAATTCACTGCCATCACTCCAGAGCTGACCATAGTTCCTTCCTTATAAGTGTGCAATATATTAAGGACTGAAAAAAAAATATATATATATATCAGGACTGAGACTGATTTCTAAAAATAAAATCCAATAAAACATATAATTGAAACTTTATCTTCACTGCTTTCCCAAGAGATCTTAGTTTTATAGAGCCCCACATCATGTTTCTGAAATTTGTGTGGTCAACATTAATTCTGCAACAGTAACAAAATGATGTAAAAACAAAAAGTCCTTTGCTAAAGGAATCATTTCTAGAGACAATAACTACACAAAAGAGGAAAATACAAAGAGAGAATGCAAAAATAACTACCAATAATATAATCAGATTAAATAATAATATAATAAAATATTTAAGTCTGTACACACACACACACACACACACACACACACACTAACACTCACAGAGCTATATGGTTTAAAAAAATAAAGTGTAAACACCACAACCTCTCACTGCTTTTGTGAGATCTTGATTGTAAGCTTTGTGGGTGCTGCACCTATATGGGCTGTGAAAGTCTTCCCAGTGGAAAATACAGCAATTCAGGCAGCCTTAGAGTAGGCTACGCAGGCCAGGTGTTGGCTTGAGGATATTAGTTGCAGAACCAGTTTTGCAAACCACATTGTGAAGCTCACATTGATCTCCCAGCAGCATTTGATTCTGCAGGCAGAAATGAACCTTGGCTTTCTCTTGGATGTATTGGCATCCCACACTGTTTTGTTCTTCTATTCATTTACCATTTTCCTCTGAACCCCGGTAAGAGAAATATTGGAGGAGGTTCAGAGAATTTTCTTTTTCGAATCCCTCACTTAACAAAACTTTCCTTGTAGTTACTTTTAATCTTTTGCACTTCCTCATGAAAACCAACATCCTAAATTTTACATTTGTAATCAGGACTTATGCAATTTATGGTGTGATGGTGGAATCAAAAAATGCATTTGTGTTTGGACTGAATGGGCTGCTTTGAAGCCACCCCAAGTGTAAAATAGAAAAGACAATACATTTCAAGTCCTGCCAACTCCCACAGTTCTCAGTATGACTTGCACTAATTTCTTATTTCTTTGGCTGCTAATCTTCTGGATCCCTAGTTTACATCCAGGAAGCTGGTCAGGGCATATCATGGCATCCTAGCAAAGCCACATGAATTTAATGAAAGAGCTGCTCTGGCTTAGGGACAATAATAAACTGGAACAAAATGTGGACATAAGAGAGTTCTTGAGCACTATTCTTTTTTGACACAGATAGTGAAAATGAATCCCAAGGATTTAATTATAAATTTGAATAAGACACACAGCTGAGAATAAGGCTGGAATATCCTTCTTGGCCTTATACCGTTCCCTCCCAGTTTAGCCCTCCATCTTTTCTTCTCTGTATTTCTCTAAGTTTCCCCACTAGTCTCTCTGCTTCCTTTTTTTTCCTGCTTCCATTTTTATATACCCCAATCTGTTTCTCCATAGCACCAACAGGCATTTTAATTCATAATCCATAGCACACTAGTCTTGTGCACCAGCACCTTAATGCACATGGTACAACACAGGCTCTTGACAACAGTTTGCAGGGCCGTGTATAATGTGGCCTCTTCTCCAAGCATATTTTACATCACTTTCTCTTCACCCCTCGCAGGACCTCAGTCACATTGCCATTTACTCATTCAGATATATCCAGATATTAGTTTCTCTTGCTTTTCCCTCAGGTTGAAATGCCCTTGTTCTCTGTTTTTGCGTGGTTAGATGCTTTTTCTTCCAGATCTTAGCTTATCACCTCCTTTAGAAGCCTTTATGTTTGAAATAAGGCTTTTCCCATTAGAAATATTTCTGGGCTTTCTTTCCTCCATAGCATGTAGCATAGTTTATAATTATTCATTTCTATGTTACAGACCTTCATTCCCTTCTCCCAACTGAAATATAATACCTATGCCTAGCACAGATCTGGGAAAAAGAGCATTAGTTTATCCTTGTAGAAGAAAAGAATGGATAGTACTCATTCAGAACTCTGATCTACCAACCCAATACACATGTGAAGGTATAAAGGTGAACTATTAAGAGGACTGAAATTTTAATACTTTAGCAGATATAATACTTTTTAAATACAAAGATTGACTATTTTACCAAATCTTTGCTTGGTCTGATTTTAAGGTTTTCTTCGGCTTAAAAAAAATATTCAGCATGTCCTTATAATACATAAGAACTAAATCTACTGAAACATTTTACTGAGAATCCCAGGTCCTATTTGAATCTTGTACTCCATAGATGAAGAAACTGGAGCCTAGGCAGATGAGTTACCACAAGTGGCGCAAAAACTGTTTACTCTCTTAACTGAACACGTAGGCTGTTAAAAAAATTCAGTTTCTCAAAAGTAGAATAGAAGTGATATTTGGCCTAATTTACATTGAATGTTTTATTGGGTTGACTGCATTCCCACACACAGAGTTGAATAGCCACATTCTTACCTACTGCTGTTTTCTTTGGTGAGATTATAATAGGAAAGGCCCCCAGTTACATGTTTAATGGCTTTTACCTCATTTCCCCCCATATTTATTTGCTTGCTTCATTTTAGTCTTTGAAAAGATAAGGAAGCTGAGGTGGTAGGAGCTATGCAGGTAAGGTCATCTGGGTAGGAAAAGGACAGACAAAAGAATACTCAAATGCTAAAGTTTCAGGCTTTCTACCACTCTGGCTTTTCTGCATGGAGTTCTGAGAGTCACTGGCTGGGATATTGTATTTTATTATACAAAAAAAACAGCGTTTACCCACTGAGAATATGGCTCTTTTATGTAAAGTGATTTTTATCTTTGGCAGAAAGCTATTGCAATACAAAGTCATATTTCACTCTGCTCAGCGCTTGGATCTCCACACACATCTCTGTGAGTCAATAGGATTGGGGAAGGAGAATATCCCCCTGAGCATCCGGTGCTCAGAGCAAAGGGCTGTATACTTGGAAATCACTTTTAACCACATTTCAGTCATGTCACTGAAACCCTCTGGCTGGCATCACAACCTTGTTTCTCAGGTAATTAAGCTTATTGTACATATTTTAATCGTGTGTGTGTGTGTGTGTGTGTGTGTGTGTGTGAGAGAGAGAGAGAGAGAGAGAGAGAGAGAGAGAGAGAGAGAGAGAGAGAGAGAGAGAGACATAAACAGAGAAATGTGGAAAATAACAGTCAAAATATAGGTACTATTATCCAAATATTCCATCACCCCACTTCTCTGAACTATTAACTCTTGGAAACTTAAAGGTATTTTCCAAAAGCCCCTTGCTTGTGGTAGACATCAGAGTGCTCATAGGTTTTGCTTATAGGTTAGAGCAAAATGTGGACTCTGTTCCTAGTCCAAACTTTTTAAAAGACTATATGACCTTTTTATTCATTTGCCTCTTAGATTGTCCATTGTTTTCCTACATCGCATCACTCTTTGATCTCTCTGGAACAACAGCATGGTTTCACTATGAAACTAATCCTTGTCACGTCCTGCTATGTGGGTTGGCAGGATGGACAAGGCCCAGGCCTAGCTAATTGAAGGTAACAACTGGGGAGCACAAAGGTGGCTATTGGATGAGAATGTGACAAGCAAGGCGTAGGATCCTCGACCCCAGAACTCCGGTGGGTACAGCGGGGAATAGGAGCTCGGTGTTTATTGTGATTCCTGACCCACTGGGCAATAACCCTGAGGGAGTGGTTAGTGGTCATCTTGGCCACCTCCTTTGGAAATCTTTCCTGAAATTGAAACCAATTTAGAAGATGGGAACTAGGAGATGGGAAAGGAAAAAAGGTAAGGGGGACTAATATCTGGTATCCTATGATGCCTTATATCCTGTCATGTCTCAAACCATCTATATCTTTGTATGCTTCAGTTACTTACCCCAACATATTACATTGTTTTTTGCTTAAGCAGTAATTTATTTCAGCTTCTGTCACTTTCTAAAAAGACATGACTAAAATACATTGGAAATCAATGCTTTTAAGAATTTTTCAATAGAAACAATAAATTCAGTTGTTTCATCTTTCATGAGCTAAATTTCAAATAAGCTCAGATATGCTACTGATCCATTCCTAGTGTTTGCTTCAGAAAATTTTAAATTAGGAGTTGATTTTTCTTTTTATTTTCTTTTTTGTACCGGGAATCAAACTCGGGACCTTGTGCTTGCAAAGCTTGATTTTTCGTTTAATCCATTTCTTCCTCCCGTCACTGCGAGTGGCTTAGTCTGCCACACCCCCAGGAAGTGAAATTCCTTTCAATATTATCTTTTGTGCTCCCATTCAAAAGATCAGCTCTAATGCAGGAAGCGCCAGGCCTGGAGAAAGGGAATGGATGGTTGGAGTGGTCTTTTGGTTATCTGGGGTTAGATCATCATTCTCGGCACACAGGTAACCTTGTTCTTGTGATTAAATCCTTCGCACTCACAATGAGCACATTCCAAAGTGGCCAGACCCTACAGGGAAAATGGTGCTAGCCAAACATCAAGACCCTCGAGAATACACTAGGAATTACATAACATTTGGTCCATAAAATCTACGTATTTTGTAATTCCACAATAAGAAAAGTGTGAGAATTTGTAATGCTCTCTCAGTTTACTGGATGCAAACACACCAAATATAACAAGAGTCACCACAAAAAGTATAATCACACAGCATTTCCAAGCCCTGTGTACTGACACAGGTTAACCCTGTCACAAGGTCGCCCCATAGCTTTAGAAGGTGACTATAACTTATTTTAAGCAGGGGATTAGAGAGGTTAAGGAAATAGCCTGAAAGAATGATGGAGCAAAGATGGAAATCTTCTGCCAGAATCCGGAGGGTTGGACCATCTCAGCTCCACAGCCCCATAATAGAGAGACTGCATTTGGCTCTGCTTCCCCTGCAGCAGAGGGAAAGGGGCACAGTCTTCCCAGGGTCAGTGTGGGAATTATTTTACCAAGTGCAATTCTCAGCAACAGGCTCCAACAGGCGAGACCTTAGGCTGTGTTGAAACAGGCTTTTTCTAGTAGCATCAGGAATGTGCTGATCATTGTTTAGAAAAGCCTCAGTGTTTAGTTCTAGTCAGCAGCAACATTCTTACCCAGAACTTTGCTAGAAAGGCCAAATCTCAGGTCCACCTTACACCTACTGAATAAGAAGCTGCATCTTTAACAAAGCCCCCCAAATGATTCACATGCATATTAAAATTTGGGACAAATTAGTCTTGAGCAGAGTATCAAAGTGTGGGTCTTGCACAGGCAGCATTGGCGTGGGTGTGTGGAAAAAAAAAAGGAAAGGAAAGAAGAGAAGAGTAGAAGTTGGGTGAAGAAGGGAAGAACAGGAAGAAACAATCATCTGCATGAGTTGGAAATTCTTACCTGGCAGATGCAATAGACTGTTAGTTCAGGACTAATGTTAGTTCAATCAGGCAAGACAGCTTAGGTGGAAGGTGTGTCAGCTACTCTGAAAGTTTACATCCTTTTTAATTATCATGTTTACCCAACAGAATGGTTTGTTTCTAACAGCAGGAAAGAACAGGGAGCATGTGCATTAAGTATAGCACATGCATGAGGAAAACTGAGTGAAAATGTCATTCAGGCAAAAGGTGGGTATTTTTATATTTCTGGAAGAAAATCAAAGGGCTTCGTTTGACCCTCTCCTCCTGGTGTCAAGGTGTTTGGCTTCTACCCACGGCTCATTCATTCTTGTCCTTTCTTTTCCTTTCACCTTTCATTTCCTTCACCATATTTTCTCCCAGTGGGGGAAATGATGATAATACCCATCACAGAGAGGTCAGATATTTCAGGGACTCTAATATTTAGCTGACAATTGAGCTGCCCACCTCCTTCTCCCACTTTCAGCTCCCACAGTGGGTGGAGTCATGGAGGCCAGGCATTTCTGGTCTCTGGTTTGTATTTGCTACACCTCAAACTGTCAAATTTTAGGTAATATCTTAAAAGAGTCTTTCTTCCTTTTAACTCTAATGGTGCTCTCTCCCCTCTTATTTTCTTATCTCCAGAGGAAGCTATTCATTTTCAGAATATTATTTTTCAGAGCCCAAACTTCAATCCTTTTTTCAGAATAAGGAAGACTCATAATGAGAGTCAAAGACCTCAGAACTTTATTTTGGGGCTGGTATTATAAAAAGAAAATGATGGTACGATTTTGAAAACACCTCACCTCTTCATACCTCTTAAACAGTCAGACAAATAAAGATGGAGTGAGATGCCTTTTCTGGATGGCCAGTGGCACCGGACAACTGCTCTTCTAATGACCTCATGATGAATAAAACACCAGAAGTGAGTTATTTTTGCTAGTACTTATTTCTATTTGCATCTAACAGGTCTTACTATCATCTGACAATTGCCTCACAAAGATTTGTCATGTGTTCATCACCTTCCCCTTCAGGACCACTTATATTAAGGAATAAGAGGAGTCATGGAAAATGCACCTAAAGGAAAAGGAAAGCTCAGATTGAAAAGTTACAACAAACAGAGATTATCAAAATGGTATCTTTTATTACCCTTAAATACTTAAGAAATGAAATCCTCCAAGCAACATGGTGCAAAGTAGAACAAAATTTCCAGGAGTAGATAAATAAATCTTAAGGTAATGAATAATTTTTTCATAGAGAAAAGTCCCTGAAAATTTCCCACATAAATTCACCCAAGTCACCAAGAGAAAGTCTACCTATGGGGCGGGGTTGTTGTCATGACTACTAGGTGCACAGGCAATGGGGAACCTCGAGATACCCCTAATACTTTGGCTTCACATCTGATTTTTATTACAATCATGCAAATTTCCTGAGGTTTTGAATCTCAGTCTCCTTGGCTGAAATGGAGACAATGCACTCACTACGGCCTAGGACTGTTTTGATTAAATAAATGTATGCATACAGGCTTAACGTTTAAATATGAATTCAATATGTCTTTAATTTTTATATTGACAAATAATATATATTTATGTGTATATATTATGTGTATATGTTTATGACATATAAGTATATATAGTATACAGCCACCCAAGAAGTACACTTATATTTTAATAAAATATCTGAAAATAATAACTGCACATACTTATGGGGCATTGTGTGGACCTTAGAAGTGTGTTACAATGTAAAACAATGAAAGCGATCTAATTAATACAGTAAGTCTTATCTGGGTGTTCCACAGATAGTTTACACGAAAGGGCGAATAAACTTGGCTTAGTGTGAGGAGAAACTTTTCCCCTGGAGAAAAGGTTCATTTGCATGTTGGATGACTATCACTGCGAAATCTGCTTTCATTGGCAATCAAAGCCCCCCGCACCTTTGCCAGTGTCTGGACCGGAAATGAGAGTATACTGTTCCACGGAAGGCTCTTGTGCGTGACTGAGCCCAAGAATGGGTGTGCCTCATTAAAGACTAGTCGGCAGGACGAGGAGATTCACATTATGGTAACAAGCCAATTAAAACCACGCGGATATCCATGGGATTCTGGCAGCTTCCTCCAGAGAGGTGGACTACAAAAGGCAGAGAGCAGCCTTGATTGATGGGCAGCTAGATCCTTTGACGTTCCTTTCCCCACCCTCTCCATGTCCCCAAGCTGATGTGAACTGTACTTTTCTCTGGGCTCACCATGGACCCCTGGCTGTGTGCCTTCCGGATGTTCTATGCTCCCAATCCACATCAAATAGTTTGCAGCCCTATCTTCTAGAAATGTAGTTTCCAATCTGAAACACGTTTGTTTGTTTTTTTCATTGAGTGTATTGGTACATTTTAGGTACACAGTACAGTTACATTCATCATTGGGATCTTGTACCTTTACATGACAGGTCTTGGTTCTCATTTTTTCCCCTTGTCCCTGCCCTCCCTTCAACCCCTCCTCCCCTCCCCATCTACAAACACCTTATTTCCATTTTTTCATTTTCTCCTATTTTTTTCTTTTCCCTTATTTACCTTTCCCCTACCATTCCCACTTTCCCTACACCTTTAGTCCTTTTCTTCCTATTTCACATTGTCAGTTATCTCTTTAGGATCTTATGTACTATTATAATTTTTCACACCAGAGAAACTATTGAGTATTTACACACGTGTGACTTATTTATTTCACTTAGGAGTATATCCTCAATATATTGTAGAGGAAGAATAAATGATGTTCCCAGAGAAGCAGAAAGATCAATCAGGTTTGTGCCTGTGAAAACTCTTGCGAACCATTAAAAAATGTCACTATTATGAGGGATAATAGTAAAGGAGAGGCAGAGATTGACATAGGGGAGTCCCATAAACACTATTTCCTTTGGATGAACATGTCAGTCCTGTTTCTCATAAAACCTTCCTTTTCCAGACACACATGACTCAGAGCTCTTCAATTAAAAACGCTTATATCTCAATCTAATTCTTTTAAGCTAGAGATCAAACTTCATTCTCCACCAGCTGCCAGGACACCTTCATTACAGTTTGTAAAAGTTTAAATGACCCTCTTGGCTGTAAATTAAATTGTACTACATGAGAAAGAAGACATTCCACTTCTGCCTTAATTCAGCTCCAGCACTGACCACTTTTCTTTAATGGTATCCTTATCATAGGGTTTCTTTGTTTGCTTGTTTGTTTGGTCTAAGAAATGTTCTGTGTTCTAAAGGACAGCAGCTGGGCATAGGTAAGAAGAGTAAAGAATTTGCTGACCATGTCCAAGAAACCTTGTCCAATATTGTTATGACTTTTAGAAACACAGGGCTGGGGATTTAGCTCAGTGGTTCCACTGCTTGCCTTGCAAGCACAAGGACCCAGGTTTGATCCCCAGCACCAAAAAAGAAAAAAAAATTAAAACATGCTGGCACTGCACTGAATGTGTAGCTTTTTAACTGTGTTGTTGTTTTCTTTTCACAATGAATATTTTTTCTTAAACCCATTTAAAATTTAACAGATGTCTTCATAAATACATTTCTGTGCATTATCACTACTTTACAAACCATGAAGACTCTACCTAATTTTGATGGATGCAATTTCATTTGCTCATTTTATCCAGTATACAAAAGTGTCTACATTTTTGTCAGCAGCCAATAGAAAAAGAGAATCTCAGGTTCTTCTAAAGACCAAAAAAAAAAAATCATCAATATCCAAAACTTTTTAAAACAATAAAAATTTTCCTTTTTTGAACAAGTATTTACAGACTGAAATTCAAGTTCTACAGTGTCATCATTGTAATTGTACCAGAGGTGTAGGAAAGAGGAAATGTTTTATCATAAAATATTTTTGATCAAGAAAACATTGCTTGCTTTCTTTTAAATAAATAGATGTGGCAGGGAAACAAATATGCTCAAAGATGGCCATTAAAAAAAAAACATCAAATATACATATAAGCAACAAAGGAAAAATACATTAGAGCATCAGAAAGAATCTAGAAGTGACTGCACAAAGTTGTTATGAAAACAAGGCTGTCTCAGATTACTCTCTTATCCCCTGACTACATGTAATTTTTCTTCTTCATACTCAGAACATGTGCCTCCAGGTATGAGCTGTTTAAGATGACATGACACAGCTGAGAAGTGTCCTAGAGAAACAGCCCAGGCCTGACACTTTAATTAGCTACACCACAGCCTTGCAGCCCAGAGGTAAAGTGGGGACTGTTTCTGGGGTAGTGGACGGTTCACAGACCATGGTAGTGGAGGGATATGAGCCTCACAAAGACAAGCTCTTTTCAACGACCTGCAAGCTCTGCATTTCTGGTTCGTGTCTTCTTTGTCAGAACTAGAGAAAAATTGGGTTTGGGCTTCACAGTGCAGCCATGCTCCAGAAAAGTCCCTCCAGAGTGGGACAGATCAAAACATCTTCATGGGCTTTGTAATTCATAGACATTCCCACTGGGAACATCAAGTGTGAAGCAGTCAAACAGTGCCAGGAGCCAAAAGCTGATCTTGGTAGAATGCTGGGCAAGTGTGCTAAATTATCTTTAATTAACAAATGAGTCACCCTTGATGATGGGTACTCATTTTCACATGAAAGTTCTCTCAAATTAGGTTGATGTTGGAAGCAGTAGGGCCAGAGCCCCTTTGGAATAAATACTCAGTGAGAGTGCCATGGTTAGACTTCCTATCAAGAAATTATTAAGATGAAGAAAAAGAAATCAACACATGCTAATAATGGGGCAGAGAAATTAAATAGGAAATCAAGATCTAAGTGATCAGAGCCTCAGAAAGGGGTTTTGATGAAACACTTCTGAAAGCGCTTCCAAGTTAGAACTATGAGTAGTGAAAATAAAACTTGAGATGATGGAAATTATACGAAACTGAACACATATCTTGCTTTGCCAATTAAGCAAAGTAGGATTTTCTAAATTTAATACTATCTAAAGTGCTCCAAGTTTTGCATACATTTTTATACAAACATGCTGGTTCTGCAGAGAGAGATATGTTGCACAAAAACCTTAATGATTATCAGTAGAAGCATTATTTATACATGGGTTTTTGTTATTGCAAACTTCCTATTTCTGTTAGATAAAGTACTACATGGGTCAAATTATGGTCTTGAAAAAACAACATATAATTAATTGTCTATCATTAATATGTTCTTTAAACAATTTAAATAGACTGTCAGAAGCTTTTCTCTGTGTCACATTATTTCTATAATCACTTTTTGGGGGCTTTGTCAAGCTCAAAATAGGTAATGCCAATTTACTGTGTTGCTAATAAATTCTAAGGATCACTTCAAAAGGACTCCACTAAAAAGCTTTTGAGAGTTTTTTGTCCTAATAGACACTACCTATCTGCCCTTTGTCGTGTGAAGTTTTGTGAATTATCTGGCATAGTCTGCACAGGAGCGCTTCCATCTTTTCTGGAATGAGTGTAAGGAAATTAACAACCAGTGAAGCCTGGAGACACGTAAATGGATGACAGAGGGGAAGAAGAGGGGAAGAATCAAGCTTGGCCACTTTCGGAACATCAGTAGTCTGTGTGGATAATACTGGTCATATCTGCAGATGACTAAGAACATTATTTTTTTTATCTACCTAGTTTTCACCTAAATAATTATATACTAAAAAAGAAAGTTTCAAAAAGCTAAACATTTGGGAAATCACTCTCGTTTTCAAGTAGAAGATAAATGTTAATATCCATTCAATAAATGCATAATTTCAACATAAATGTTTGTCTACATATGGCAGACATATGGTGATCCCAAAATCTCCTTGTGCACCTCACTCCAGGAAACACATGTCCACAAATGTTGCAAAAAGACATGCATTGAGATGGGAAGAAGAGGCGTGCCCAGCGTTGCTCTTGGTCTGGGACAGAGTGTAGACAATGACGCGCTGGACTCAGAGGCATAGGCTTCTGATCCCGTACTCACTTGCTGTAGCTCTTTGAACAGCGGATCCAAGGGCTCTCTGCTTTGGTCTCTTTTTCTCTAAAGCGCGGTAATAGGGTTAAATTGTTATCATCCCATTCAGAGCCAAATGCCAGTAACTTCAGGACTACAAGCATCTCTGTGGGCCTCAGAAGCCTCATAAAACTGTTTTCTCAAAGCAGCTGTCCAGTTTACTAAGCAGGATTAAAGTGATATTTTTAGTAAGATAGTTTTGGTATGTGCTCCATGCAAAATATGACAGGATATAAGGTTGCTAGCAGCCAAAAGATTGAACAGTGACTACTGTGTCAGGCAGTGGCAGATCATAGTGAAGTTTCTGATATCAGATATGCTGGCAAACCCTACAGGAATATATCTTTATAAATTTCTGAGAATCAAAGTTTGGTGTGCAGAACGTTAATATCACTGAATAGAATCAAACTCCTTTCCTTATGAACAATACTTTAAGAGCATATAGTTTGCTGACTAGTGGTAAATGCCCAGGATACTTCAGTGGGCTGTCTTCCTAGATTGATAAGACTTAATATTCAAATAAAAAACATAAATGTTTTCAATTAAGCTACAGAAATTACTAAAACTTTATAGGATTAAAATACAATGCAACATAAAAAGTTGCATCATCCTTTGGCCATGACATCTATTGTTGATCACACTATCAAATATGTGTGTTATATTTCCTGACCCAGGATTTAGGGTTTGGGTAGTAGCTGGATAGCAAGTCATCCTGGCAGGAAATATCAGGAATGCAATCTAAAAAGTTTAATTAGCAAATGGAAAAGAGCCCCTAAACTGGATTGTATTCTGGTCAGACTGACAAAGCCCTTTGTTCACTTAGAAATTGGGCAGAGCTTCTCAGACTTTAGTCCACACAGATCACAAGTGATTTTCTATAAAGGAACAAATCATCCTATAAACGTCAGACCTGGAGCAGGTAGGTGATAAAATTTTATTTTGACTATCATTTTCTCATGAGGAGACATCTCAGTGGAACTAAATCCTTTTCTTCTTTAGTTTTCATCTTAACGTATGGAGTTCTGCAAACACTAGTTAGTGAACCAGAAAGGTTAATTTGGAAAGAAAATAAAACTTTAGAACATGCAGTTAAATTTCTAATAACAATTTTGTTTAGGCTATTGTATTAGTCAGCTTTTCATTACCATAACAAAATACTTGAAACAGGCTGACTTTTGAAGAGGTTTATTTGAGCATAGTTTTAAAAGCTGAGGAGCAAATGGCATGTGCAGGTTCTAGTGAGGGGTGACCCCACTCCTGACTCTTTCACCTCAGGGCAATAGTGGAGCTAATGCAGGAGCGAGTAGTCACACCGCCAGACAAAGTCAGGTAGGTGAGTGGGGCCAGGCCCAGGATTTTATTGCAGCCTTTCCGAAAGAGCTACCAATGGATCCAAATCATGCACCTTCACCCCTTCCCAGGGC